AGAAACTTTTGATTAAAATACTTTTTGGTCAATCTCTTATAAGTAGTCCATCGAACTAATTTTAAATTACGAACCATTGTGACAAGAAAAAAAGAAAAAATCTTGTTCACCAATAGCTGTCTGATAGCGACAAATTCGAAACTCAAACTGGCCGAAGCCATAACTCAAACATGGTGGACATTGTGATCGGCGGACAGCAATAGGGACGTATTAAGCCTTTTTACAAAGAACTCTATCAAATAATTTTATTAAAATTCAATATTTGCTACTTAAATAATGTAAGAGTAGCTCTTATTGGAAGACTATTTGCAATCACGACAGCTGAATAAGAGGACTTGGCCTATTTTCTTTTCAAACCCTTACTTTCTTATTCAAATCGACATATTTGTTACGATTCTCATCCAAACTTAGAATTATTTTCAAATCAACTATCAACGTTTCTGTCAATCATTACTTAAGATCTTCAGTTTTTAAAAATTCTCGGTGGTAGGTAACGTAATAATCGCAAATAGTGGGTGTTGCATTACACAAATGCACAAAATTAACATTTTCCTCTAAAATACTTATCTAGCAAGTTGACTCCAAATTTTCGGTAATGACGTAGGTTATTTAACTCGTCGAGTACCGGTTTTGTAGACACAATTATAGAACAATAGGTTGCGGTCACCGGTGACCGCTTGGTGTTTGACAGTTTAAAACCTTTTTAAACGACAATGTGATGTGTTTCTTACCCTCATAAAGGTTCCTTTATCCTTCACAAACCGAGAGCCGTTTGTAGTCATGTCCGGGACAATATAAACTTTAAAATGTCACGTGGTCGTTGAAATTTTAATAAGCACACGCTTTGAGAGCATTGTTACGTAATTTTAGGGAAATTCGATGGTTTGTTTAGAGTATTGGTAGGTTTTGAAATGGATAGTTGGCGCTTGAATTGATAATAAGGGTGTTTCAAAATAAGCAGGAGAAAATAGGTAGAAAGGTGGTTTTTAGTCAGTAGGTAAGAGTCTGACACTCCCTCTCGCCTCACCCGGGCGGGAAAAGTCATTCGATGATGTCCACAAATTAAAAAAAAATTGGTGCTTGAGGATGTGATTGTTTTTTGTTATTTTATCGTGCTTTTATGACTGCAAAAAGCTTTATTTAGATTTTTACTAATAACATAGAAATGTTACATTACTTTTTCCTTTTTATTTTTTTTTTAAATACCTGACACATGACTCCTAGGATTTTTACCAAATCCGTGGGTGCATTTAAAAAATAAAAAATTTCACACATAGGTACGTCACACGTAGACTCGCAATGAACAATAGTTTGTGGATCAGACATACTTTTAACATATAAGATATTTTGCCTTTAAGGAAATAATTATGTACTAGTCTACCATAACTTATATTGTAATTAATTACAATAATGTACATGATGTTTACAAGTTATGAACCTACAAGCTTTAGAAACAAGGGTGGATTATCCTTGTTCAGTTAAAGCCGGGGTGTTCTTATTTAATTTTGAGAGAACATGGTTTAAGAGAATACATGTATTGTTAGTTTATTTATCTTTCAGTTGATGTTGATTGGTATAATAAACAATACATTGAATTTCCTCAATAGGAGGAGATACACAGAACTTGAAAACATTTTACTCATTAAGTTTCAAATAGAAAATTTCAAGGTCAGTATACGAATAAATAAGTGTGAGAGACTCATGCTTCAGTCCGAAGTGATACCATGGTTTTACAGAAAACCGACGTGAAACTACAGCGTTGTTTCGTCATGTGAGTGAGGTTCTCCTCAATCTCCCCATTCCCCAAGTGGCTCGCAACGCACTTGTAACATCTCTGATGTTACGGGTGTCCATAGGTGGCGCCGTTTGCTTGCTATCGAGTGAACAGTCTGCTCGTTTACCTACTTAAGTATTATTTAAAAAAATAATAGTGCTAATATGCTAATATTATTTCATTTTCTCGTTTATGTTAGTCCAGTTGTCTTTTATTGAACTCACAATCCTTCTACACCACTATTTTTACAACTGGTTATTAAAGAAACGAGGCAACATAATAATTAGGTATATAACCTACGGGTTGTGACAAAATTTACTCTTACAACAATCCCTCATAAAATGAATATATGGATCAACCATAAAAACCCTCATCACCTTTAAAACTTCAAGGATATTGTGTTAAAAGAGTAAATTTTGAACAAAAACGAAAGAGTAAAAGTATCTACATTATATTTTTTTATTTTCGGATTTGGTGCCATAATTACTAATGCGTAGATGCCATAATTATAATTATGGCAGCAACAAATACATGTGTGAAATATGAGGCTGTAAAATAGATGATATTGTTTTAGATTAACAGGATTATACAACTTTATACGTTATTTAAATATTGATAAGGACGTATATTCTATTGTACTAATTTTCCTTGTTTCCCATTCTTTTCTTCGAAGTAACTAAACTTGAAGATTATCTTTTGTTTACTCGAAAAGTTGATAATAAGCTAATTTTTGTTTTTCTGAATCATATTACTTTTTTGTGGGGGTTTGTACCTATTACAAATTCAGTTGAATTAATATTAAATAATTATTGGATTTGATTATACTGGCTCGTTACTTCGTGACTGCCAACACCTTTGAGACCAACTAAAACTTCCAAACCAAAAACCAAACTTCCATTAATCTGAAAAGACAAATACAGAGACGATTCGATATTCCTCTTCCATTTTTTAACCGGACAAATATTGCTCATACCCCTCAAGCCAGTAATTGAATATTTTAGTGGCTCTTCAATAGAAAGCTTGGGGAGGACAGCAAATATTCGCATTCAGCTCTAAAAGACTGCATAATTCAATAAAAAGTGCATTTCTCTTCTGTTTGTGAGACAGATGAACAAATGTATGAGATAGGATGATAGATCTTCTTCTACTTGTGTCTTTTGTCTTCGATCTGTTGTATCTTTTGTCAGTTTTAATGCAGTTTCATGATCAGATAGGGTAGTTTCCTAAATTTTATTTTAATGTCCGTCTGATAGATTAAATTAAAACTTTAGACACGTATTTTTTATTTTCTCACAAATTTAAATACTTTCGACGTTATATTAATTTGAAATATCGTGTGACGTCACAGCGTGCCACAGTTTGTAGCACGCTATGTCGTAACGAACTCCCACTCCTAAACTTAGCCCCATTTACTCTAATTAGTATTGTAACTTAATGCGAGAAAATAAAAAAATGCATGTCTAATATTTTTTTCAATATCTAACTGATGGACTAATTAGATTTTTAATTTTGATACCCTGGAAACTACTCATTTTCACTGCTTTTTATATTTGATGGATTGACGCTTGCTTACTATCTCACCTGGTAACCGATGATGCGGCCAACATGATTCTTGTTAAATAAGTAATCAGGTTGGATTCCTACTTATCCCTTTCAAGAATTGTAGTCATCATGATATGCAAATGTAGGTACATCACCTGTCCCCAAGGGTTTTACTAGAGGTGTATTTATCTTTCCTTCATTCTTTATTCAACACGATCTCTCCCATGGGATAGCAGCCTTGTCGTTCTTTTAAGTCACTTAGAAGTATATTTTTGTTAAAAATAATAAAATATTGTCTGCCTTAGTTAATTTGGCATTCACTATATCAATAACCCTCCTCCCCAATCCCCAAATCCCCGAATCCCAACAATCCTCCAATTTTTATAATAACTATCGTGAGACATACTAAATTACCTAAAAATCGCGGTGAGTAACCCGTGTTTTTTAGTTAATCCTCCAATTTCTAATCACCAAAAGGCCGGTAACACCTCGAGCGTTTCGGGTGTCCATGGGCGCCGCGGTGCCGATTGCTTACCATCAGGTGATTCGTTTGCTCTTTTAAATAAGTATTTGTCATTGATGTTGTCATAGTCTTCATTTTTGTCAATGCTGTAATCTAAATTAACCTAGTCCTAATTTGAACATCTGTCTGAATTTCTGATTGTCTTTTAACCCATAATAGTAATAAAAATATAACGAAAAGTTGTGTAGTGTGGGTGAATATTTTTTACTTTGTAAAATATAAGCCTCATTTCACGTTGATGAGCTCCAGACAAAATGTAGGCTGTGTTCTCTCCATTTACATTTCGTGTGACATCTAGCGTCTCCTGAGATTTTAGAACAAAAGTCTAATGTGATTTATGTCCTCACATCATTTGTAAACTTGAAGGTACAATAATAAATTTATAGTCAAAACTTTGTCATAGGATTTTGGTTCCAATAAGATGTGCCAGAATAACTCAATGTCCCTTGCTTATCCCGATGGAAAACGAATATGATGAGATTGCTTCCTCTGTGTTCGAATTTTGAAAGTTTTAGTTGAATCATTTCTCACTTTTTATTGTTTGACGTTTTGTAAGATTTTTGGATTCTGAACTTCATCTAATATTATAGTTGCATCTGAGCTTTGCCTATGAAATGCAATGATATTTTTGGTCGAGACGTAGGTATATGTTTAGTTTTCTTATATTTTCACCTTACACAATTTTAATGCTTTAATTGGGTTTCCTCTCTTGTTATGATAATAAAAATTCGTTACACGCATCGACATAAATTATACACAGTTTGAGAAAATTATAATTTCTTCGGATAATTGTATTTATGAATAAATTTATATTAAGGATAAAGTTTCTTGATCTTAACCCTGATTACTAAATTCTTTAGGGACCAGAAATTGGTAAAATTTGGTACGGTAGAGGTTATCAACTGATTTATTGCGTAATTTGGTAGGTATGTGACCTTTATAAGTTATTCAATTTTAAATAATGAGCTAATAGCATCAAGAGTAACTACCATCCATAATTTAGGATATAACCCTTATTAATGGTGACAATGGGATTAAATTTATACTCAGTAGTAGTCATCAATAGAACAAAGAAACTTCCGAATCTGTTTAATTTCAATATATTTTTACGAAATCCAGTAGAACTATTTTCCACTCTTAACAGTCTCCTTTCAATTTTAGATCTTCATCGTCATCAAAATGCTGAACAAGAACATTGCTATCGCTGTCGCCGTGGTGTTGGCTCTGGTCTGCCTGGCAGAAGCCAGGGAGGAAGGCCCTCACGATATGGCTGATGCTCTCCGTATGCTGCAAGAACTGGATCGCTACTATACCCAGGCCGCTAGACCAAGGTACGTTGGTTTTTAGAAAGCTTTTGCTTATCAATGACCATTTTAAATTTGAAGCAGGGCTGGTGAGGCTTGATGGAAATCATTCAAATGATAAAATAACTGGGGGTTTAAACTGTCAAACACCAAGCGGTCACCGGTGACCGCAACCTATTGTTCTATAATTGTGTCTGCAAAACCGGTACTCGACGAGTTAAACTTCACATAATACCATAAAGCATGAAATGGTCTATGGGATTAAGATAAAATATGTAACAGAAAGAAATGATAACATGGTGATCATAAAATTGCAAGTACTGCAATGTCTTCGCTTTTTTATTTTGGCTTCATATTTGAAATGGTCTCCTCCATAGATGTAGTTTTAAAAGGTATCAGCGACATTGGCAATGGATACTTTAAACTAAGAATTTCTTAAGTTGCATCAGTGCCAGGTATTGGAGCGTTTGGACTGAAAAGGATGGGACAGGTAATGAATGGTGTTCCTACGTATGTATTATGGATTTTATTGTAATGATATAATTTTGTACATCAAGTTTATGGATTGTCGATGAATGAAATGCACATGTAACGACAAACGTTCGTAGTAAAAGTTGGTAAACATAAAAGTTTTGCTTTTTATAGACTCGTGAAACTTCAATTCAGTTTAAACAAAATAAGTTTTACTTAGTTTAACTTCACCTTGAACGGTGTTCACGATGCGAGGAGAGTGAAATCGAAAAAGTTTTCTTTCCAAGTTTCTATATAAAGTAGCTTCCTTACAACTGCTGCTTTGTTCAGCTTCAATCCCTTGGACAAACTCATTAATTTCCTTTAATTATGTACTCCAATCAATCATTAGTTTGCTTTGAACTTTTTCAGTGTCATTTATCAATTTTAAAATAGCAACTGTTCGAACAAAAAGACAATCTATTTAATTTTAAACTTTTTGAATACTGGAATAAGGTGTTGTTTTAAACAATGCTTTTAATGTAATTGATTTTCTTTTCTATTGGAAAGACATTACAGATTCTATTTGATCTCACTCATGGATTTATATTGCCTCTAACTTTATGAAAACCTTTTAACCAAAAATAAATGTAATCTTGACTGCTTGTGATGGTACCCAATTTTAATCTTTTCCATCCTAAGAGGTTTTAATAGGAAACATATTTGCGTCAAACACTTTAATGCCTTCAATACACTCGACATATTAAAAGGAATCTGTGAGCTATCGCAGTTTGTCATCGTTTGATAGATTTTTAAAACTGATATTGTGTCTTACGTCACTTGTAGAAGAGTTCTTGTTACCACGATGATATTGATCTCATTTGTCTACTAATTCTATTATTAGATGCTAAAAGCGTATAATTATCGTGAATTCATAAAAAGGGTATTCTTCGAACATACGTTTCATTACTTTAAACTTGATAGTTTTGGAATCAAATTTGACTTCATAACAAAAAAAGATGTAGTAAAAATAAAAATATTCATAAAATATAAAGATTTCATAATAATTACTCATAAACAATAACCATGAATTTGATTACATTACAACTATCGCATAAAGTACTAAATAAAACTTTTATGTTCTTCAGCTTACACTCATAACACTATGAGTCTCTAGTACGGCTTGAAACTAGTCGAGTTCCTCGATAAACAGTTACGTGAATAAGCTGACAAACGTATTAATTATTATTATACTGAATCGTCTATTCAGTCATAGGAAGTTTGTTATTGTTATATAAGTCAAAATATACAAAACGTGTATGTATTTTTTTGCTTTGTTTTCTTACTATGTTATTGAAATATAACACTCATTATCTCGGCTCATTTTGCCTCATTATTTATAACTATTTGCTATTAGAATCGTCCATGTTTCTATTTCTGTGTCATAATATATACGATCTTTATATTACCTATTATTATTACCTAATTGGGTACTAATTTGGTTGAAATCTTAAATAGAATTGGTAGCACTACCACATTTTTCCGTGAAGGAGAACGTTTCCTTTTACTCAAAAGTGGTTTTAGAAAAACCTTGTCAAAACATTTAGGCTATAAATACGGCCCAAATGTTTGCTTAAGAATTTTTTAATGTCAACCAATTAACTTAACATCCATCAGTATCAGTTACAGCCACAATAAATCTGTATACCAGCCACTCAAAATTCAATCTTACTCCTTTGACTCTAAAATAGATTTGACCGCAGAACCAATTTTTACCCGACTGCCAAAGAAGGAGGGTAATGTTTTTCGAGTGTATGTAAGTATGTATGTATGTCTTTTCCTTTGTGACCACCTGTAGCCTAAACGGCTTGATGGATTTTGATGTATGAGGTATCGTTAGATTTGTCTTGATTACGGGAGTGTCATAGGATACATTTTATCCTAAAAGTCCCACGGGATAAAGACATAATAATATTTTTTCTAAATTTCCCTTTAAAAAAATATGTATGCGGTATCATTAGATTCATTTCAATCACGGGAGTAATTAATATAGGATACGTTTTTTCTCAAAATTCCCACGGGAACATGTTAATTCTGCGTCAACGCAAAGCAACTCATGCGTTAGCAAGCAAAAAGATAGGGCGTGGCCTGGCATGCGGCGCGCGGCGCGGTGCGGAGGGGGATATGCTCGAGTATACAGCCCGATTGCGGGCACACGCATGAGGGCACACGTCGTTGACGGTCGTCTCTAAATAGCGATTTTATTCGATATATCCCTATTTGTATATATCGAAATAAAAACAGCTAAAAAGTTATAAATAAAAAAATTATTATTAAAAAAACAAAATACCCGACTGCACACTAAAAAAAGAGTAAAACAAGCCCCACAATAATATTGATCAATCAAATGCTAAAAACTAATTATGTAATACCGTTTAAACAATACCTATATTAAAATACACTACAATATGTGTTCGTAATCGATAGTTAAATAAACAGAAACTTATTTTGAATACAAATTTACTGAATATAATTTATAAATGTTGATGGAA